TAGAAGCTTTTTTTAGAGTGAGCAAACATGTGCTTATGCAAGACTTACTTGTGCACCTGAATATCTTCACATGAGTGACCTTGGTGTCATTGGTTTAATGTAACATGGGCAGAACTTCTTCCTTACCTTGACCATTTATATGTAGAGATCACAGTATGTGCCATAGACTAACACAGATTTCTAGGGATCCATGAAGTTTAATTAAAAATATTTATTTCCCTTCCCAACTAATGATGAAACTGAACCCTGTTTCTGCATGACTGTTTTCATGTTCCTGCTGGAATATTCTGATGGATGCTGATTTATGATGCAAAATTCCATAATAGAAGTCTGACTCTGTAAGGAAGAACAGTGTCAGAATCTCATGTGAAACATAAATACGCATATAAACAAGTTTATGCAAACATTTGAGGGACCTCAAATTTGATCTCTATCTTGCATCTCAATGTTGTTCTTATTTTAATCAACTACATTGACAAAAGTTAAACTTTTTATTATTTTTAAACAGGAAGAAGCTGTGTTAAATTCATTATCATTACTGCAAATATTTTTATAATTTTTTAGTATTTTCTCTACAAAGGTTTTATCCTTTGTAGAGAAGATAATACATACAGTTTATAAAAATACTGTGTAACTCCTTGCTGGCTGAAATGTCTTTTTCTTGAGGGACTGGCAAAAATTTCAGTTAGTATTTGGGGTGACTTTTTTTTCTGTGGCTAAAATACAGCTTTTGGGGAGAAAGGTTATGTAGAAGAAACTGATGTTGAGGTCTCCAGCTTCTTCATATGGAAGAAGTGACTTGAAAGCCTGCATTGAATGGAAACATGGTTGGGTTATGGACCTGATGGAAAAAAGTGAGTGTAAAATGGCAAAGAATTGAAGGAGAATTAATGAGGTAGAAGAATCTGGTGTTGTCCTAGTAGTGCAAGTTACAAAAAATGTTTTCACTTTTGAATATGGAGTTTAGTATTGGTGGACTCATCAGCTCTCATTAAATCTCATAAGGGGTTAAAGCTGTATTTCATCAGAGGCATATTTGGTTTTGATAGGTAGCATAAAGTTATGTGTATGCAATACTGAGAATCAAGTAAAATTAAACCACATTCTGCTGTTCTTCTTTAGAAACATTCCTGCGTAAATACTGCAGTAATACTGTCATGCAGAGTGTATCCTTTCTTGTTGTATCCTTTTTTTGTGCAATGGTTCCCGTAGCACTCAACTACATCTAAGTATTTGTATAGAATAGGTGTGGGGAGGAGTTTACATGTTTTAGCTCTTGAATTAATCTTGTAATTTTAAAACCAAAGGGCACTTTTGGGAAAAAAAAAAAAATCGTTGTTTGTGTTGCGTGAATAGACACAATGAAGGTCCCTAGTCTTAAAAGGTTGCTTCTACCTTCTTCCTCAAAGGTCATATAACTTGTTAATTTGTGGTCCAATTCCTTAGCTTGTATAAGCTAGAAGTGTTCCACTGATCTGCATGGAGCTGTACTGAGCTCACACTGAGGACGTCTTCCTGTTTTTCTTTAAATAAATATAATAATACATTGGTTAAAATATGTTGCAGAGCAATTATTAACAATATCAAAAGGTTGACCAGTATTTTAGATCATTTGATGATTACTGTTGTCCTGGTATGTGCGAAATGATCTATAGCTGTGACTTAGTTTGTACAATCCTTACTTCTTTTTTGAGAAGAAAATCTAACAATATTTTACAATTAAGTATTTGGAATTGAAGTATTAATCAACTATTAATCACTGCTACCTTTTTGTTGGTTGGTTTGGGGTTTTTTTTCATTGTTCTCTGCACTGAGGTAGTGTTATTGCCAGTGACATATTTTTCATGTGGGTTTCATATTACATTATTGTTTAACTTACTGTAATATAAAATGAATACAACCTGTATCTAAGATTTTTTTCAGACATTCAGCACTTTTCTAAATACTAAACATCTTTCAATTTAGTTGTCAAAAGATAGCATAACACTACTATTTTCTGGTTGTTCTTACTTTTAACATGCTTTTGTGATGTTCCAGGTCCCTTTTGTGTTCCATCTCTTTCAAGTATTACCAAGCTGCGGGAAGAAGCAGTGTAATCATCAGGACTCTTGAACTGTGCGTAGTAGCATTTCTAAAGTATTTAAGGCAGAGTATAAATTTTCTCATCTTAAAGATTCCAGATACCCTTAAACTGTCACAAGACTTATTAATGTATGTTAGTTTGCTTGTGAAATCTCTAATAAATTATTTCGTTTCTCTTCATTTTGCCTTTTTCTCTTCGTTTTGCCTTTTGTTGTGGGGTTTGGGAGTGGGAAGGAGGAGGAAAACACTTTTCTTTGTTTTGGAAAGGTGAACAGTCCAATTGTAGCTGTGCAACTTGTTCTGTGTGATTCAGAATATATATTTATATGCACTTGCTCGATTGTGGTGTTTAGCTGTTAGTGTTTCAGTGTAAAAAGGTAAGAAAAACTAAGGATAATCTAATTTTAGTGTAAATATTTTTCTTGTTTTGGAGACGAAGGAGGAGGACTAGTGCAGTGGTGTGAATTTGTACTGTGAAATTAGGCGCTGTTTCTTCCTCAGTAACTAACTTTCATTGTTCACGAACATCTTGAAAAATATCACTAGTGAGGCTAAAGTCATTAAAACAAGAGTAGCAGTCAAAACAGTGTTAAACCACTGTAGGTGTGGTCCTTGCCCTGTTGAACTGTGTTTGAAAAGATCAATGCTGTGAAGGTCACATAGAGAATTTGTTACATACTAGGAAGATTAGTGTAACTTTCTAAAACCAAGTGGGAAACATTGCAGTGATTTTTACTTGGCAAGAGAGTCCAATGGATTTAAGCAGAAATTTATTCCATAAAATATTAATTCATAGTTGACAGTGTGGTAGCAGGCTGGTGTAAAGACTTGTTTTGTTGTCATTCCAGCTGCAAACAGCCTAAATCGCTGGTATTGATTGCTGGACCAAAATAAGTGTATCTTTGCTGTTTTTTCTAAACTGGCTTAGCAGGGTACTTTAAAATGTTTTTACTGGAATTCTTAGCTTATTTGCTGTGTTCCCATGTGGACTGTAGTTGTTTGTTAGTTTATTCTACCTGTATTTGAAGTAGTAGTCCAGGAAAAATACACTGAGAAAGGAAGTTTTATGAGAAGTTCCAAAGGACTTATGGTGCTTAGAAGAGAGAAGAAAGTGGCTTAAAAAATAATTTTTGAGTGTTCTGTGGCCATTCTGTTATGTATAAAGCTAAGTTGTGTTCTTGGTGGGGTTATATTTTTAAAGAACAAATAAAACATACTCCCTACCATCCTATACTGATAATCTATCAAGGAAACTCCTGCGGTCCAGTTGAGATAACTTTTTTTTGTAGTCAGAAGGCAAAGCTTTCATTCCCTTAGATCAACTGTTTTTTTGTATACCCATTTTTTCTGGTTGGTTGTTTTTTTTGTGTGGTTAGGTTTTGTTTGTTTGTTTTGATTTTGGATTTTTTTTTTTCTTTACCTAAGAACATTTGTTCTGCTTGATTTGATATTTCAGGTCCTATGACCTCCATTTTCTTTTAAAAAGTCATTAGGGCCAGCTTCCAAGATTGTACCTAAGCAGTGAATGCAGGCTTACACATGTTTTTTTTTTCATTAGCTGATGACATATAGACACAACAATATTTCTCATTTAATTAAACTTTTGAATATACTCATATCACTATAATTTTCAAGGTGAGACTGACTTGGACAATCTAATAATCATGAGTTTTACTATAGTGCTCTTATACAAATTGACTCCTTGATATAGCAAAGATCTTGTGATAGCAGAAGCAAAATTAGATTTATTTTCTATATATAAATGTGAGTTGTGTGCCTTTTCAGATTTTTCTTTGAAAGCTTAATTCAGAAGGTCATTCTAATATGCTTTTAATTTTAAAGAAATGGATGTTTAAAAAGCATGCACATTTTCAGTGTCCTCAGTGCGAGTTCGATATATAATGCTCATCTTCAGTTTCAGTCTTTTGAGTGTGTTTTCATCAAAAACTTTGAACGTTAGGGACTTCACTATAGAGTAGTGAAAAATGCTGTTTTTGAGAAGGTAAAAATAGTGTCATCTGCAAAGTGGAATTAATGTGCATTCAGAAATTATCCTTATAACAATAGCAACTTGGAAAATTGACTAAGACATGTTGCAAAGTTACATGTTACACAGGTTATGAAGTTTGCATCTTTGTTATCCCTTCATATCTTTGGAAGGTTCCTACTGTAGGACAATCACCAGAGTCCTGCAACTCTTCCCTGAGTGTTTTACAACAAGCCTAGCAGGCAGCTTCTGGCATGAGATCCTTTTATGTTATATACAGATAAATATTTACTTTAGTTTTGGTTGTTTTGACTGTTCCTAGAGAAAAACATTATTCTGATAGTGACAAACTCCATTTGTTCCTTTGTATGGCAAAGCCACTGTAGCAACATTAGAAAACACTAATTAATCCACTGGAGCCTTCAAAGGTGTAGAACCCTTCCTTGTGCTAACACTTTTTTAGTCTGTATCTGGATGGAGCTATTTTACAAAGCTTTGTGACTCAATTTATCGCATGAGAAAAAGGTATATAATAGAGCAAACATGCACTACCTCCTAACACCCACATTAAGTTACAAGTAGAAAACTAAGCTATTAAAAGTACTGCAGAAAAGACCAGTTTAGTAAATTTTCAAAGCAGTAAAGTAGGATAACAGCAAGGTGGTGCTACACTCAAAGACAAAAATACTTTTTTTAAAAAATAAAAGTGTATATGCAGAGATATTTCCTATTTCAGAATATATTCCAGAATGTAATTTGATCTTGAATCAACATGATCACGAGTGACACAAAGCTTTCAGATCACCTGGTTCCGTTTACGGCACAGCTGTTTCTCATCGGCGAGCCTGGCGCGCGGCTGAGGGGCCGGCGCGTGCTGCCTCGGGCGGGCGCACTGAAGGGCGGCAGCGCGCGGCCGCGGGGCCTCCGCGCCGCCCCGCCCCAGCGGAAGGGGCTGGGCTCCCGCCGCGGCGGCCCTCGGCGGGTCGGCGGCGCACGAAAATAACCCAGGCTGTCCCCAAAACGTACGTACTGAGCTGCGCTGCTTGCTTTCGGCGTGTTTATCGCCCGCGCGCGGTGGAGAGGCCGGCGGGGTTTGCGGCGGGCGGAGCTGCTGAGGAGGGGCTGTGTACGGGGCAGGGCCGGGTCTGAAGGAGGTGCGGGAGCGGAGTTGCTTCGTCCGCATGAAACGTGCAGCATCTGAGGGAAGTGCTGTGGGGAGTGACTAGAAGTTCACGTGGAAACCACTTTCCTGTAATAGCCTTTAGCATCTGGAGATTCAGCAGGCCTGTGTCAAACCTTTCACAAATTTAAATATTGTTGCTAGTATTTCTGAGATGGCAGCTGAGTTTGTACCGCAGACTTTAACCCAGCAGAAGACAAGCTGACCAGAGTTCTCACGTTGTCCAAGAGATCAGTAGCGTTCTTCAGAAACAGTTCTCTCCCATGTTCTTTGAATTGCAGTCAGCTGTGCTCCCTTTTCTTCCATACGGGAATACAGGCCTCTTACTTTTTTTCCAAGTTTCAGAAGCATTTTGAAGCTAGAGCCTTCAGAGTGTGTTGGGGATTTCAACATCTCCATTCTCTTGTCATTGCTTGTACCGAAGCCAAAGCAGCTGTAAACCTGTTTCAAATAAATGAAAAACTACGTTGAGTCACTTCATCAAGCACTAGGCTTTGGAGCTCGTTGGGGTCAAAATATATTATTCTTTCAGCTTTCTGTAATTTACTGCTTTGTGTACTTACTGCTCTAAATAATAATTGCCAGTCTGATAAATGGCTTCTCTCATCAGAGAAGATCGAACTTTCATAGCTTGTTTTCTGTTAATGTATGTTCTTCCTATTAGGGCAAAGAAGCATTCTTTCATGAAAAGGGAAGCACACAGAGCAACTTTTTATGGCTGAAGTGTATCTGTATATTATACTGAAGATCTACAAGTAAATAATTTCATTAAAATTATTTTGTTCACAAGCAGAAAAACAAGCTGAATTTACCAAATGATTCATTCTAAATAACTTTGGATGCCTGTGAAGTACAGTGACAGCTGATAGCAACAGGCTCTGGGAGGCAGCTTCTAGACTTTATAAACTGGCATATTTTGTGCTTGAATATGCTCTAAAGAGTGCAGCTCCACTGACTGAGAGATGTAGATCATCTGTTCCTTTAAATAAAAATTAGGGTTTGCAAAAGATATTGTAGGACTTCTTTGTAGCTCAGTCTCTCTAAATCAACTTCTAAATATGAGTGCAAAATGAGATCCTAAATACTGTAATGTCAGTGGTGATAGTTTAACTTCTGGTTTGTTATAAGTTGTATCTCTCTTTAGATGGGAAAAAGGAGAGGCAATTTCAATAGGCTTGTCATATGTGTTCATATATAAGTAAATGCAAATATGATAAGAATTGGGAAGTATAGTTCCTAGCCTAGCTTATCTGAAGGTAATGCAGCTGGTTTTTTTCTTCTGGAAAGCTCCTTCAGTGCATTTGCAGAGCTCTGTACCTGGACACTGAGAAGAAGACTTCTTGATTATGGAGCTTCACAGCATTCTAACCTCTGCATGCCATTGCACTGTTATCTGGGAGAAGAATATCTTCACATAAATTGTACAGGTGTACTGAGATTAAATGTTTAGCTTTTATGGTTTTAAGTCAGTATAGCCACTTCTGTATCTGAGAGTTTTTCCAAGATTAGGGCTGTTGTTTGAATTATATATGTCATACATATCACAAATGACACTCATATGTTAGACCTTCAAAATCTGGGGTTTTGCGGAAACTCACAGTAAAAAACATGCTGCTATTGCAAGGCCTTATCTAAATATGCACAAATCACACAGATTGGAAAAAAAGATGCCTCTCAAGCATAAACAGGAGTGTGAAATATTATACATCAAAATGAGAAATGAAATGTCCATTTCAGTCTATATGAATACTCCTTTGCCTTTTGGGGTTGTTTTTTACTAATAAAATTACAACTCTCGCATACTAGAGACAGCCTGTGTTAGATAATGTCTGAATTTTAACTTCAGAAAACCAAAGCTTTTATTTGTTAGTTTTTCTGTTAACCTACCGTTAATATGGTAGGTTAATATAGCTTAGAATCCAATTCTTAAACAAAATGACCATCAAGTAAAGTTAAATAAATATGATGTCAGAGATGGGCATTTACTTTTAAATGTGTATTTTGTAATGTGTACTTTACCCTCTTGCAGGAACATAAATAAGCAGTAAGAAGAGCGTAACTGATCACAGAGCCCAGGATGGGTATCTGTCTTCTTCTGTTAATTGTAGGGGTTTGCTGGGGGCAGTACAACCCCAATACTCTCTCTGGGAGGACGTCTATTGTACATCTGTTTGAATGGCGCTGGGCTGATATTGCTCTTGAGTGTGAACGCTATTTAGCTCCTAATGGATTTGGAGGAGTTCAGGTATGTCTGTTCCTATCAGTAGGTAGTAAAATTGCTACATAGATGATAATTTGTTTTTCAGAGAAAATGTTCAATTCACCAAAGGACAGGTACTGAGAAAGATAGAAATTGGTAATGGAAGTAGTAAATGCTGACAAATATATTCTTCAGCCGTCATCATGTAAGCATGAATTTATTTCATTACTCCAAAGCGCATGTTTTGCATTCTGTGCTGTTACATTTAGATGAATTAGAATTGCATATCACTGGCTAAATCTTTTTTTTACTGCTGTGAAGAGTAACTTACGTTTATCTGCTTGATATTATTTAAATCAAGGGAAGCTCTTAAGAGCTAGATAAACATAAAATGAAACTATGACTGAAAAAAAAAGGGCTTCCAAAGAAAATACCAAAGTGCTGAAGGTTTTAGATGAATAAATATAGAAGGCTGCTAATTATGTTCACCCAAATTGTCAAGTTTCTCTTGGTAAAGCCTAGTGTCAGAGAAAGCCATTAAGAGACCTTTGCAGTAACCTGGTGCGAGCAGGCAGAACTGAACTGAACACGGGTTGTGGCGGAAGTGTGTCGATATGAATCTGTTCTGTCTGAACAACAGAAACGTGTTCCTGTGGAACCAGTAGTATCAGATGGGTGGGGTAGTATGGATGGATAGCAGTCACCTATTAAACTATTTCAGTTTGTTTGTCAAATTGCTCATGAAAAATTGGTGAGAGAAGTCTGCCTGTTGTTTGTAGCCTAGGAGTTTTCAAGTTGGCCTGAGTGAGAACTTTCCCATAATTTTAAAATAATACATCTTTTCTTTGCAACCTTCTTTCCAGGCATGCAGGCCTGATTGATTTTAAACTGATTTCTCAGACTATGGTATACGCTTGGATATCTTTTTAATCTATGCTGTGACAGGGTCTCAGAGAGAAAGTTTTTTCAGTTGCAGACTTGCTGAGATGGTCACAAATGTGTGGCAGCTAAGTAGGCTGCAGCCTAGGGATCTCTGTGAGAAATGGTGGGATCACGTGGTTATGCCCAGAGACTTGGAAGTAGCAGCAAAAGCTGTTGTCTAAAGAGTATCCTGGAAAAAGTCTATAAAAAGAAGAGGTGTATCTTATCTGGAAACTGACCAGTCTCATGTCATGAGCCCTTTTATTCAAAACAATACAAAAATGGGAAGTCTAGTCAATTTTAAGGGTAGGACGTTGTTCTGCAGTCAGTTCCTTCCTGATTCTGGGCTATCTCTGCTGACCTAGTCCTTCAGATTTCAGATTCTTCTTTTGATCTTTGAAGCCTGCATTCATTAAGATAATTAGGACACTATGTCCATGGACCTCATTTTTATAGTATATTTATACCTGCTGAAGGTCCAGGCCTAAGTCTTTTATTTCCAGCCACTATTATTATCCACCCAGTATTACACTACAGTGTAAGCAGAGGATACTGAGGATCTATATGGGTTAGGTATGTGAGCGTCTTCCATTAAAGGAACCTGATTTTTTATTTTTATGTTCTTTCTCTAACAATACCGGGCAAACAAATAAACCATTATCAGTAACCTGTTACCAAGAGACACCATCTTATTCACAGATTTCACCTCCAAATGAAAATGTTATCATTACTGACCCCCGGCAACCATGGTGGGAAAGATACCAGCCCGTCAGCTACAAGCTGTGCACACGATCTGGAAATGAAACTGAATTTAGAGACATGGTGACCAGGTGCAACAGTGTTGGAGTAAGTGCTTTGAAAACCTTCTGGTGCTAACAGTGCAAGGATCTAGACAACCAGTAATTTAGAATGGAAGACATGATAGCACTGTAGTGAAGATGGGTTTTTTTCCATAGAATCATAGAATAGTTTGGGTTGGGAGGGACCTTTAAAGGTCATATAGTTCACCCCCCTGCGATAAGCAGGAATATCTTCAACTAGATCAGGTTACTCAGAGCCCCATCCAACCTGTCCTTGAATGTTTCCAGGCATGGGGCATCTACCACCTCTTTGGACGTCTTATTCCAATGTTTCACCACCCTCATTGTAAAAAAATATTTCGTATATCTAGTCTAAATCTACCCTCTTTTAGTTTAAAACCATTGCTCCTTATCGTATCGCAACAGACCCTGCTAAAAAGTTTGTCCCCATCTTTCTTATAGGCCTTCTTGAGTACTTAAAAGCCCCAGTAAGTTCTCCTCAGAGCCTTCTCTTCTCCAGGCTGAACAACCCCAGTTCTCTCAGCCTTTCTTCTTAGGAGAGGTGCTCCATTCTTCTGATCATTTTTGTGGCCTCCTCTGGATCTGCTCCAACAGGTCCATGTCTGTCTTGTGCTGAGGACTCCAGACCTGGATGCAGGATGCTAGGCAGGGTCTCACCAGAGTGGAGAGTGGGGCAGAATGGCCCCCCTTGACCTGCTGGCCACACTTCTGATGCAGCTCAGGATACAGTTGCCTTCTGGACTGTGAGCTCACATCGTCAGCTTATGTCCAGCTTTTCATACACCAGTACCTCCAAGTCCTTCTCTGCAGGGCTGCTCTCAACCTCTTCATCCCCTAGCCTGTACTGATAGCAGGGATTGCCTTGACTCAGGTGCAAGGCCTTGTACTTGGTCTCATTGAACCTCACAAGGTTCACATGGGCCCGCTTCTTGAGCTTGTACAGGTCCCTTTGGATGGTGTCCTATCCCTCAGGCATGTCAACCACACCACTCAGCTCGGTGTCATCTGCAGACTTGCTGAGGGTGCACTCAATCCCACTGTCTGTGTCATTGATGAAGATACCAAACAGTACTTGTCCCAGTACGGATCCCTGAGGGACATCATTTGTCACCAATCTCCATCTGGACATTGAGCTATTGACCACTACCCTCTGGATGTGACCAACCAACCAATTCCTCATCAATCAAACAGTCCACCCATCAAATCCAGATCTTGCCAATTTAGAGAGAAGGATGTTGTAATGGACCATGTCAAAGCCTTACAGAAGTCCATATAGATGACATCTGTAGCTCTTCCCTTCTCTGCTGATGTCACTCTATTACAGAAGGCTAGTAGGTCGGTCAGGCAGGATTTGCCCTTGGTGAAGCCATGCTGGATGTCTCAAATCACCTCCCTATCCTTTATGTGCCTTAGCAAATCTTCTAGGAGGATCTGTTCCATGATCTTCCCAGGAACAGAGGTGAGACTGACAGGTTGGTAGTTCCCAGGGTCCTCCTCCTACCCTTTTTAAAAATGGGTGCAATGATGCCTTCCTGTCTGTTGAGACACATGTTATATCACTATAGCTATATGTTAATATTAGAGAAATTTTTTAAATAGAATGTTGGGGGAAGCAAGCAAGCAGAGATGGGGGGAAAGGGCAGGAAGTAAGAGAGAGAAGACGTTGATAGTCATGCTGTGGGAAGTATCTTTCTCAAATTGGAATGTGAATACTATTCTCTAGGTACATATCTATGTGGATGCAGTAATCAACCATATGTGTGGAGCTAGTGCTGGTGCTGGTGACCATGCTACTTGTGGAAGCTATTTCAATGCAAAGACTGAAGATTTTCCAGCTGTGCCATATTCTGGCTGGGACTTTAATGATGGTAAATGTAAATCTAGAAGTGGAGACATTGAGAATTATCATGATATATCTCAGGTAAACCAAGAACTATTTTTTCATGTACATCAGTTCCTGGGCTGTGGTTTCCTTGCTCTGCTTTATTGTCAGACATTTTTAAAAACAAAACAAAGACTGTAATGGAAAACCATTGAAATTGATAACAGAGGTTAGCATTGATATCAGGAAGACCACTTCTTCAATGGATAGCTCTACTTGAGCCAATGGCTCAATTTCAGATTTAGACAAATGTGCTTAGGTACTTTATAAAGATAACTTTAAGTCTCATAAAATCTACTTAGGGATTATCTTGTGTGGGGGTTTTGTGTTTTTTTTTTTTTTTTAAAAAAGTAAGAGTTATTATTTGCCTTTTATTGTAATTTGGAAGTTTTCATTGGTCTCAATTTCAGAAGAGAGAGATTAGGATTTCATAAAGAAAAACAGAATCTTGAAAATCAACCTTCTATTTAGAGATTTCCTAGGAGTCTATCTGCCCCTCTATATCAGATTACAAGGTCAGGGCTTTAAAACTACCACAGAATTAAAAATTATTTTATAAAGATAAATACCTGTCTTTCTTGAATAATGTCTTGTGCCTTTCAAAGACATTTGATCTTTCCTGAATCTAACTTGAGGGTAGAAGGGTTTTGGAGAAATGGCAGAAGAGGGAGACTTTAAGTATACCTGAATTCTTGAGCAGTTCTAAAGGAGCATCTTTACAGCCAGTTTTTTAGTACAGTTGCAATAATGGGTGATGCACCTTGGTCTCTCTTGGCAGATCTGCATAGCCATGGAAATCCATTGTCAGAGTTATGTAGTATATTACTACATTAGCATTTCAATATATTCAGTGTATGTTTAAAGTATTCTTTTGATGAAAATCGATGCCTATCATTTTGTATTTACAGGAGACAGAGGCAAAAAGGAGACAGAAAACAAGAGTTTAATATTTTGTAAGGCTATAATAACTCAAGATTTTCAGATGGTTTACAAATAGAATATCTAGAAATTTTTCCTACATCAGAGAAGAAATGAGTGTACTTGCAATAGTATAATGACTCTGTTCCTTAATACACTGGAGTAAAAATAACTTATATTTTTGCCCTATACTTGCATTAAAAAGCTGATTATAAATTTAATGGTTTGCTTCTGTTATAATCCTTCAGTACCTACAGCTGTGTAAGCTGGGTGAATGCAGACTTCTTAATATTCCTTCTGTGTAGATGACTGTTCAGTATAACTGTCCAAGGCAAAGATATGCATGGTGAACAAGGGGTAGTGAAGTT